AAAAAAAAAAAAAAAAAGTGGTCATGAAGAACCTAGGGGCAAGACGGGAATAAAGATGCAGACCTACTAGAGAAGGGACTTGAGGATACGGGGAGGGGGAAGGGTAAGCTGTGACAAAGCGAGAGAGTGGCATGGACATATATACACTACCAAACGTAAGGTAGATAGCTAGTGGGAAGCAGCCGCATAGCACAGGGAGATCAGCTCGGTGCTTTGTGACCGCCTAGAGGGGTGGGATAGGGAGAGTGGGAGGGAGGGAGATACAAGAGGGAAGAGGTATGGAGACATATGTATATGTGTAACTGATTCACTGTTACAAAGCAGAAACTAACACACCATTGTAACGCTATTATACTCCAATAAAGGTGTTAAAAACAAAAAATAAGTTAGGACAGGATGTGACCAAGTGTAAGGTGTGCGTAACTGACAAAGAGGGTTCACGGAAATGCCAGCTCAGGCTCACTTCAGCTGAAACTGGAGGGTTTATCTGCTAAGAACATATAACAGAGGAAGCTCTACCCTGCGTAAGCAGTGGAGAAGGCAGGGTGAAGATAGAGGGCTTCAAGTGCTTCCACAGGTGACTCTCTGTCCTAAGTCCCACCTTGCGTGGTCAGAGGTTTTTCCTACATTTCCCCAGTGTCTAAATTATGCTTGAATAGTGCCTTTGGCTTTGTCAATCAAGCATTCATCCAACAAATGTTTATTGTGTATCAGCTCCAGGTGTGGTACAGTGACTAAAGTCTCTGCCTGGGTCAAGGTTAGAGGAAGAGGAATAGCCTCCCTGGTACGTGGGTGGGAAAAGTGGCCCACAGAGAGTAAGCAATCACCCAAAGCGACTAGGTGAGTCTGGCAGAGCTGACCTGAGAATCAGCCCAGCTTCTAAACTTTGCAAACTCTTTAATGAACTAGATCTAAACACAGTTGGCAGTTCTTGTTATGAGCCATGTAAACTTCACTCTGTGGGAAAACAGAACTGAAGGGCCAAATTTTGCTCCTGGAGACCTGATTTCCAACTCTGCCTCGGTCACTAAATAGCTTTAATTTTCTTACTAGAGAAAAATGGAAATAACTGTGCTTATTCAAAGGGATGTAAGTTCAAATGGATACACACTTGCTCTGGCAGTATAAGGTGCTGTATAAGTACGTGCTTTTATTATGCACACGGAACCAGTAAGCTGTATTCAGATCTCCTCCCTTCCCCCTCCCCCAGCTTATCCCAGACCTGGTTACTGGGTGCCCAGAAGCTAACTGAGATCCTGACTCCTCCCCTTAGGCCACAATGTGCTTAGAATCTTTTTTTTTTTTTGGCGGTACGCGGGCCTCTCACTGTTGTGGCCTCTCCCATTGCAGAGCACAGGCTCCGGACGCACAGGCCATGGCTCACAGGTCCAGCCGCTCCGCGGCACGTGGGATCTTCCCGGACCGGGGAGCGAACCCGTGTCCCCTGCATCGGCAGGCGGATTCTCAACCACTGCGCCACCAGGGAAGCCCTGTGCTTAGAATCTTTTCCCTCCAGTTTCTTAATGGCACAGCCAGATGCTTAGCTGGCTGCCTAGAACCCATATCATCTGTGGGGCAGGAGGAAAGGATTCTGGTACTTTTCACCTGGAGCCCCTCCCAGCTCCACTGCCCCCCTTGCCCATCTACAAGGCACTGGGATTTGCTTAGCAAGAGGCAGTGTGGCGGGACAAGCGGGGCTTCGGCTCCTAAAACTGTTCCTGTCGGAGACCAGCTGTGCCAAGGGCGTGTCAAGACACCCTGAGGGTCAGTGGTCTGGGTCCTGGTCCACTTCCAAGCCATGCTGCCTCCATTCCCACCTCCTCAGCGCCCCCTTTACCTCTCTGGTTAGGAGGTGTGGAGGAGGTGGCGGACAACACTCTGCTGGGGCAACCAGGGGGCTTCTCTCTCTCTAGGGAGTCTCTCTCTCTCTAGGGAGTAGAGGGAGGAGACAGAGGAGCAAAGGGTGAGGGAGGGGCAGGTGCATCTGGAGCTGGGAGGCCCTGGACTTGTGGCCCGCCCCCGGGCAGGCAGCGGTGTGTGTAGGAGGCGTGGCGCCTGTGTCTCACAGGCTTTTGGCTCCTGTCCTTCACATGTGCCACGTTAGCATCCTGCCGACCAGGAGGAGGGAACAGCAAGATGCCGTTTGAGGAAGAAATAAACCCAATCCAGCATCTCAGCCGCTTTTAAAAATAGCAACTCCGGGATGGTGTTTCAGCTCCTATTTTTATCAGATTTATATGGCTGGACGCTGGAGCTGAGCTGTTCCCAGGGTTCTCAATAGCAGCGGACATCACTATTGTAGTCTTAGAAACCTGCCGTAAGGCGAAGGCTAAAATGCACTCCAGGAACCTGTCGGCTGGACGGGATCCTTGAGAAGCCACTGCACACAGCCCTTGTCTCTTTTGGGGCCATGATCAATTAACCACAGTTTATGGCTTGCTTTTTGCCTTCAAGTCTCTTGGTTACCATGACTTCAGTGCATAATTGAGGATTCACTGCCTTCTAATCCGGAAGTCCTTTTTAATGTCTAACCCCAATATATTGGCTGTGTCCTTTAGGCCCTTCTCGCGGTAGTAAAATGGCAGCTAACATTTATAGGTCTTACCATGTCCACAAAATCCTCTTATTTAATCCTCACAAAGCCCCTCGGGGTAGGCACTGCTATCACTCCTAGCTCACAGACAGTTACATAACTTGCCCGAGATCGTATCTGGTTATGGTGCAGGTTCTATGCCAGAGTCACCAGACCATGCTGGCTCTCAAAGGAGGCGGTTCCGAACATTAAGCAATTTCCCCTTCGCCTTGACTTTCATTTCTTCCTCATGATCTTGAAGGAAAAACTGGTCAGGGTACTACTGGACGTATGTGCCCCATGCTAGAAGCCGAGTTCTAGGTCCCGGCCGTGCTGAGCCACTGTCTCCCTGCCTGCTGGCCTTGGCTTGTGCTGGCCACTCGGCTCTCAGGCTTCAGCCCGGAAGCCTGGCTTCTCTCGACATAAGCCGCCACAGCCCCCCCTGGGTCTCCTCAAAGCACTCATGTCCATGGAGTTACTTTGCAATTATGTCTACGTGTCTCACTAAATTGTAAACTCCAGGAGAGCTCTAGCTCCATGTTCTTGTCTAAAAACAAAAAGTAGGGTAGATATTCAAAACCTTGTTGATTGAACTGAAACACTGTAGTCCGTGCTTCTTTTTTAAGTGGTTAAAACTTGGTAACTTCAAGTTTATAGAGACTTCGGAATCCAGTGTAATTTCAGTAAGAATATGGAGCGAACACAGGGCTGCCAACATTTATTTTGCTAAGTGAGGATTTTTAAAAAACAACTACTGTTAATTATCAGCATCTTCTTACAAAAGAAAGGCCATTTTAGGGTTCAATATACGGGTCTGGAATAAAGATTTAGTCCTTTCTGAGAAGGCAGAGTTAGCAGACCCACGTCAGCCTATTCAGAAATAAAATAGATACATTAAACTATTTTGGAATAGAAGCATTACAAGAGAAACATTTTCAAATATTACTTTGTACGTAATCGTTTCTTGATTTGTTTCTCCATTTGGGGATCTGTATCCAACAGAGTCAGGCAATGTGGAGCTAACTGCCCAACTCCTCCTGAAATGTTATTTTTCTCAGTGTCCTGAAGGAATGCTGACAGAACACTCAGCAATTCTGCTCTATGAGGAAACCTCTGGGCAAACAGAGAGGAGCCGAGGAACAGCAGTCCTGTCTCCAGTTGCTCCCCTCCCTCCCCAACCACGCCGGGAAGAAAGTCGGCCAAGAACTGGGGCCTGGTGGCGGTGGGGAGCCCTCCAGGACTTATCTGGGAAGGTGACATCTACCTCCAGGAGAGCAGGGACACAGGCGCGCACACCGAGGGCACGCGGCTAAACACTCAAGGACGTCCACGCTGCCAGAGAGGGCTGGCGCTGCTCGTCTTGCTCAGGACGCTCTCTCCGGGGCGGCGGGATGCTGGGTTCTGCTAAGGGAAGGCAGGAGGAAAGCCAAGGCAGAGGAGGGGGTGGTTCTCATTCTGCATCCCTCGGGCTGAGGACCGTCTGTCCGCCCACTAGCCCGGAGGCTGGGAGCTTCTTTTTAGTCATCTCTGCTTCCCCAGCACTTAGGACACTGTCTGGCTTGAGTCCATCAGCGAGTCAAAGCTTTGGACTCCACCACAACCATGTCACTTTGCCCTGTTGGTTTACGATCACCCAGCACATCACTCCGTAGTGGATCCTCACCCCCGTTCCCCTTGATAAAGAAATAGGCTCAGGACGCCTCGGGTGGACACCAGGAAGAGACCATTTACCACTATCTAGGGCAGTGCTTGGCCTGTAGTATGTGTTAAATAAACACGCAAGGAACAAATGAGTGGCGCTCGGCTCTGACTCCAGTCTCCTGGCTCTCAGTCCAGGGGATGCAGAATAAGAGCTACCCCCTCGTCTGCCTCAGCTTTCCTCCTCCTTTCACTTTGCGGGACACACATCCTGTCTCCCCTGAGAGTGTGTCCTGAGGAAACAAGACCCAGTAACCCACAGCCCCATGCTAAGGAGCAAACGCCAGCCCCTCTCCAGCAGTGTGACACATCTGTCCGCTGGGCTGGAAAGAGAGCCTCATGTGTTTAACTGCATGCCGTCAACGTCTGCACCCGAGTCCCTGTTCTGCTGGAGCAGTGGTAGATGTCACCTTCCCAGATAAGCCCTTGATGGCTTCCTACAGGCCATAGCCTTGGACACTTTGAAGTCCCTTCCTGGCCTCGTGATTCTATGGACATTCTATTCTATTCTGTGATGCTGGTCATACCTTGCATCCAAGAACCTCAGGGCTTTCAGACTCCACTGCAACCGTGTCACTTTGCCCTGTTGAGACACTGTTTGTATTTGATCTTCTGGCTGCTCCCTGCGAGTTGTTTTATCTTCCTGCCCAGATAACAAACTCAAGGCCACGGGCTCCCTGACCAAGAAGCCAAGGCAAAGGCAGGCTTCTTGGGCTTTGCAACATCTGACTCTTATTAAGGCCCTCCCACTTCCAGGAGCGGCCATGCTCCATCCTCGTCAACAAGAGTATATCAACAGGATTGGCTCACACATGGGAAGTGTGACCTCAATGTTGGGGAGAGAAAGAGGAAGTACTGTCAAAAAGACTCTATCGATTACTTCCACCAGACAGGTGGAGATACAGTAAGTGGGAAGAAGGCAGAGGGCCCCGTGGTTGCAGTGCAGGAAGGAGTGAAAGCAGAGGGAGGCTCAGTTGGATTCCGGATGTGAAGACAGCCAGGACGGGTGCACGGGGGCCTACAGAAAGCCCCAAGTCCTCCGGGCCAGCTGGGGCTGACCCCCAGACACTCACCCCCTTCTTAAGACCTTCCCCCTAGGTTCTGCCCACTCCGCTTCCCCAGCAGCCCACACCGTGGGTCCACACCGAATGAGACCAATAGTTTATTCTCATGCTGGAAAGAAACCAGTAGAAAATATATTAAAAAAAAAAAATTCACTTGGTGCTAAAATCCGGCTGCCCTTCCCCCCCCGCCCCATACACATCAGTGCTCTTCTCCGACTCAGCTTCTCTGGGCCTCCTGCAAGAGCGCGAGGAGGGGGTCATCAGCTCTGAGGGCAAAGGTGAGGGTGCGGCGGCCGTAGTGCTCGGGGTCCTGCTCCAGGTTCTCGATCACCTCGGCCAGCAGGTGGGCCCGCTCCACGCCTGTGCCAGGGGCCTCGAAGCCCAGGGCAGTGAAGTGCACGTGCAGGTGGTAGTAGGAGGGCAGGTAGTGCAGGTACACGCGAAGGCGGTCTCCCGCCACCTGGTAGCGCTGCAGGATGGCTTCCTGGCAAGAAAGGGGAGGGGCGGGGAGGCTCATCGTGCTGCCCACACACTGGCGCCAGAACCCCCTCCTGCCCACGGCCCCGACCAGCCTCTCCACCCGCTGTTGGCTTCGGATCCCTGTCTTCCATTCTTGGGAGTCAGCAAGTGCAGGGGACAGCAGCAAAGCGGAGGCTCTTTCTCCCAAGGATGGGGACGGTGGCCTCGATCAGGCTTCCCCGCTCCAACCTGGTAAAACACCTGCTTCCTCACAGTTGCCACTGGGCCTCTAGGAAGTCTCGGTGCTAAGGACAGGCCCAGGTTTCCAAGACTGTGGGGACTATCCTGCCCTGGATGATTTACCAGACTTGTATCATCAAGTAGGTGGGAAGAGGCCTTGTTCTCCTTTTCAGCATAGAACAGAGTGGAGCTGGGCTGCGGCAGAGCTAAGGGCTTGGTGGCAGAGAAAGGATAGGGGAGGGGACGTGAGCAGGGCTGCCCTGGACAGACCAGGGAGTCATAATAGGATCATCAAATTCTTGCAGGATTCCTGGTGGAAGAGGAAAGCATCACCTTCGGCCCTGGCTCCCTTTGCCTGCCCCAACCTTGCTCAGGCGGTAGAGCTTTTTCTACCACACCCCCTTCAGGAGCCTCCAAGGCTTGGAATTAAGAGGAGACTTAATTTCCACTGTAGGCAAATCCCTGAGGCCGCAGGGGTGAAGAGAAAAAGACAGGGCCTCAGCGTGCTCAGAATACATCCTGGAATTGTATTCTATTCTGCATTTGGCGCTCCCCCAGGGATCTCGGCAGCAGGGTGACACCAGGACCAGGGCACCCGAAGGGCTTCCTGGGAGGTGCCGCCGGAACTGTCAGGGCAGGCGCAAGTGCTGGCCCAGCATCTCCCAGGGGCTCTGCATCCAGAGGCTGTTTCAGCAGAGAAACGAGTTACTGGGAAAAGAGAAAGGCAGCCAGGGGGATGGGGACGTGGGCATGCGGGGCAGAAGGCAGTCGGCACAGGACAGGGAGGGGCCGCAGGTGAGGGGAGAGTGGCCCCAAGCACAGCCCCTCCTTCAGGTCTGCGGCAGAGCCTCAGAGCAGCTCTTGTTGAACCTGACCTGGTGGGGGGAGCCTCTTCCCCGCTGGGCACCCTGGTGACAGCAGGCCTGCCATGGAGGCCGCATCTTCTAATGTCTCAGGCTGAGACCAAGCCCACAGAATAATGGAATCAGAAGGAAGAAGGACCCCCTCCAGACACCGAGGCCCAGAGAGGTGAAGTGACCTGCCTGAGGTCATCCAGTGGGCTAAGGTCAAAGTGTCAAACCAGGACCAGGACCCAAGACTCGAGACTCTCTTCCCCCATCTCCCCTCGCCCCCAGGGCTCCTTTCAGCAACGCTGTAGTTTCATTCGATTCAGCAAATCTCCCAGAGAGAAAGTATCCCAGAATGCCAGGTGCTAGAGGATTCAGTCTCTTCCCTCAGGGTAGATGAGGGGACACAGACACACGTCAGGTCGTGCACCATCTACCCGAGAAACACGTCTGGCATGATGTGGCTGTCGTGAGCGGGGCACGTAACCCTGGGATGGGAGGGCATCCCAGACGTGACCTGCAGGACACAGGCAGGGAGCAAAAGCGGGAACCCGAGCTGAGGAAGCCCGTGTCGGGTGAGGCAAGGGGGCTAAGAGTAGAGCTAGAGGGCAGGGCAGGACCAGGAACAGGGGCCTCGTGAGGCCCCCTAAAAGCCTTCATGGGCCGCTGCACGGGCATTCAGAGAGGAGCCCTTTTCACGAGACGGACTTCTGGAAGGGGTGAGGAAAGGGGCCCAGGAACGCAATGGAACTGGAGTGTAACTCCCCTGGGCTCCGGCATAGATTCGGCCCCGGCAGCTCACCTGCCCCTCCTGGAGGATGTTCCTGAGCAGTGGCAGGTGCTCTGGAGTGAGGTCCCGAAGCGACTTGATGTCCCGGCGATGGCAGATGGCAATCAGATACAGGTCATCGAGCTGTGCGGAGACAGGCAGGGGTAAACCGGGCTCAGCAGGGGACAGGGCCGGGGAGGCTGCCAATCGTGGAATTCCGCCCAGAAACCAGGAAGCACCCACACCCCAAGGCCTGCAGTGTCAGCCACAGCCAATCCCAGGGACCCCGTGGCAGGACCAATCCCCAGGCAACGTGGGCGTCCTCGTGGCCAGGGTGAGTGGGACAGTCTAAGGGACAGAGCTTCTGTTTATTCTTCCTACTAAAAAATACCATATGAGAGTATTTACATACTCACAGCTGATGGGGAATGAGCGGCGGGAAGGAGGTTCAAGAAAATGCCAAGCACAACTCTTATGGTCTAATCGCATGTACAGAAGTAACTGCTGTAAGACATAAGGTGATAAGAGTGCAGGAGGAAGAAGGACAGACTAGCTAGGGTGATCCCGAGAGGCTTCCTAGAAGAGAAGGCAGGGCACCCGGGTCTTGAAGAAGAGGTAGGGTTTGGAGAAAGGGCATTGAGGTAGAGGAAAGCAAAGGCTCAGAGGCAAGAAAGTCTAGGGCATCTAAGTGGGGGAGTAAACAACTCCATGTGCCTGGAATCAGAGGCAGGCGAGGAAGTGAAGGGGCATGTGACGGGGGGAAGGGAGCCTCAGGCCAGCGGGGCAGTGAGCTCCACCACGGCTTCACCCTCTCCTCCCTTCCCCTATCTCACAGGGCTCACAGACGGCCCTTCCTGCCATCCGTCCTGAACAGTGCCTTGCTGAGGACCTAGAGTTCACAACAGTCCTGAGACCCAAGGCCAACAAGGTCTTGAGCCAGAGAAGAGCAAACGGACTCTTCCTCTTGCCCAGAAAACCCTCCCAGCCGTCTCTGCTTACCCAAACCCTGGCCTTGGCCAGTTTCACATCCTCGTGCGAGGCAAGCCCCAGGCACCAGGGCTCCAAGGGCCGAGGCATGGAGAGAATCCAGCAGCCCTCAGCCCTGCAATCTGAGCTGCTAGATTCCTCAATGAGATAATTTGGGGACCATGAGTCACCCAACCAAATCCCCAAGGGCCCCAACTTAAAAACTTAGAATGACATTTTCCATATGGTGCGGGATGTCCAACTGTGCCTCTTCATGCCAACAGTCTCTCCATGCCATACGCATTCTTCTCCTCCAGGGCCCTAAGAATCCAGGCTTTCTGCCCCAGACCTGCTACAGATGGGCCCAGTGGGAACCTCCTGGCAGGTGGCTAAGCTGTGCCCACCCAGGCCTCCGTTTTGCCTTCAAGTCCCTTCTGGGCTCTTCCTTCTCATGGCCTGTGTCCAGGACTCTCGCACTAGCTAGGGGCCCAAGGAGAAGCAGGAAATAAAACTGCTTGAACCTGGGGTGTGTGTGCATGTCTGTGGGTGTCTTCAGCTGTCCCACGTGTCACTGTCACAGGACTTCCTGTGAAGTAGGAAGTAGCCTTTATTTTAGATGGTACCTGCTGATGAATGCCAAACATGACATGAAATCACACCTCTCTGCTCCTGGCATCGAGTGAAGCATGAAGGCTGTGCCAGGTATCAGCTCACGGGATGGGCGAGGGAAGGAAAACAAACCCATTCTTTGGCATCAGACGTGACCCTGCGTTTCCTGCAGGCAGCCAAAGGGCCCCGGCCCAGAGATACCGGTGACGGGCCTCACAGTGAGGTGAGGAAGGAGGAGAGAAGGCGGCCAGAGGCTGCAGAGGACAGGAGGGGCGGTGTGAGTGAAGACGGCTCCCGGGAAAGCTGCTCTCAAGAAGGTCGGGGCAGGGGCCGCTAGGGGGCCAGGCAGCAGAGCTGAGAGGCTTGGAGGAGGGGGGTGGCCCTGGACCACCGGAGGCCTCCTCTGTGGCTCGGGTAGTGCAGGGGACTCCTCGGGTCGGTCACCCTACTTTCTGCCGGCCAGTGTTGCAGACCGTGGGCCTGCCTGGATCTGCCGGTATCCAGGGCACGGGGAGAGGGTGAACCGTACACCTCAGGGCTCCAGGTGCTCCTGGAAGAGAGGGTGCAGCTCCCCAGCTTGGCTGGTAAAGGAACAGCCCGCGAGGTCATGGATGCAAACACTGCCCCATCCTCACCCCCAGGGTGGGAGGTGAGCCAGAAAGAGGCTTTAACTGGCCCATTAAAGTGTAAACATTTGTTTTACGTGCTCCCACTGCAGAGAACTCAGGCCTCCCCTTTGGTTAATTATAATCTTCTTAGAGAGAGCGAGCAACATGAGGAGGAAGGGCAGGATTAAGGAGGCCCAGCAGCCTGGAGCAGGGCACTCAGAGACCAGAGAGGCCCAGCACAAAATCCCTTACCTGCTGCTGGTTCCACTTGAGGTCGGGGATGAGGACAAAGCCATCAGAGGGATCTGGATTCTCAAAAACAATCCGGTCAGCTTCAGCCTTCCTGTCGAGAATATTGTACACCCACTGGAAGGAAGGGGAGAGAGGGGGTTCACAGACCAGTCATTTTCCCTGAGAGACACCCCACAGTGGGCCAGGTAGGCTCTCAGGCCTCCCCAGGAAGGACAGCCAAGTCTGAAAGGGCCACTATGCTCGGGGGACCGACACTCAGGCTGTCCTGTTCCGGGGAGCTACTCTTGGGGGTCCGGAAGGGACTTCCCCTCTCCCACTACAGCCATCCCCACAGGGATCACGGCAACTCAGACAGGGCCATCTCTTCAGGCAGTTCCTGGCCGGCACTGTGCACGTGCTCTGCTCTGGCCTCACAGGCCTGGTCTGCAGCCGCCCCTTCCACTGCCCACAGGACTCGGGAAAAGCGTCCCATGGGCGGGCCCTGTCCCACTTTATTCAGGACCACGGGCAGAGAGTCAGGCTGGGAGTTTCTTCTGCAGAGGAAGTCCGCTACACACCAGGGTGGGGAAAGGCTCAGGTTCTAGAAGTTAGTGTGCTGGGTTTCTCAACCTGCTGGGATCCTTGTGAGGGCTGGGGTTAGCACCGCTGCCCCACCTGGGGACCCAGCTGACATGCACCCTTCATGACAAAGCAGAACAAACGCCACGTGGAGAGGCGATTACACAGACCTTTCCTGTTAACCCCAGGCTGCCAGCTCTCTCACGCCCTTTGATTAGCTGCTGTCAACAGTCTTCAGAGGACCCATCCTTGGGCGCTGTGTGAATCCCAAGGGCATCACTTTACCATTAAGGTCCTGGAGGCCTCTCTGAAGAAGCCAGCCTGCAGGGAGGTTAAGATAAGAAGGCCCCTGTTCTCATGGGGATCCAACCCCCCAGCCCCGGCTCTTCTCCACTTCCCCAGAGGTCTGAGAGCCCTTTGCCAACACGACTTCCTTCCAGGCCAGTGAACTCTGTGCCTGAAATCCGAGAGCGAACCCTGCTGGAGAGCCACAGAGAGGGCAGGAGCTGGGCTCATACGGCTGCCCCTTCCGCCCCGCAGTCACGAAGGGCCTCAAGCTGCCCGAGCGGTGGATGGGAGGCCAGGGCGCCGACACGGCCAGGCCAGCGGAGGGCTCCTCTGCCCACCACCAGGAACGCTGGTGCAGCAGTGTCAGTGAGGGCCAGGGCTACACACATCCTCCCCCATGCCCCGCCGAGTCCACATCCTCTGCTGTCGGCCAGCAGGGCCAAGGCCAAGTGCAACTGTCTGAGATGCAGAGCGAGGAGGCAGAGAAAACCTGCCTGGGACAATCTGGGCCTCCCAGACCCCCTGGTAAGACCCACAGCCCGGTCACAATACGGTCAAGAAGAGCCTGGCAGTGCCACTTGTTGGGTGGAGTCTGGGGGCCGCCCAGCAGTGGCTTCCTCGTGCAGCACTGGGGCCAGAGCGATGCACAGCCCAGCAGGTGGAGAACATTCCAAGGAGGGACATTCCAGTCAGAATGTCCTCTCTGACTGGAACTCTCTCTAAGAATGTGCTACTGGAGAAAAAAAGCCAGCTGGATCCTGACCTGAAACCTCCCAAAAATAAATGGGAGGGAGGAGATGGTGTCCCTGCGTGGAGAGCCCTGGTGTGGCCCAGCCTCCCTGGGGCCCTGCTTTTGCCCACAGATAAGCAGCTGTGCCTCCGCCTGGAAAGCAACATGTCGTCTGGGAGAGAATGAACAGGCTCTGGAGCCCAACAAGCCTGGGCTCATCTCTCACTCCCACCACTAACTAGTTGCATGCTGGCAAAGTGACTCAACCTGGGCTTCCCTGGCGCAGTGGTTAAGAGTCCGCCTGCCAGTGCGGGGGACACGGGTTCGAGCCCCGGTCCGGGAAGATCCCACACGCCGCGGAGCAGCTAAGCCCGTGCGCCATGGCTACTGAGCCTGCGCTCTAGAGCCTGCGAGCCACAACTACTGAGCCCGCGCGCCTAGAGCCCGTGCTCCGCAACAAGAGAAGCCACCGCAGTAAGAAGCCCATGCACCGCAACGAAGGCCCCCGCTCCCCACAGCTAGAGAAAAGCCCGCATACAGCAACGAAGACCCAACGCAGCCCAAAATAAATAAATACATAAAGAACTAGCATCTTTTAAAAAAAAAAAAAAAAGTGATTTCATCTCTCTAAGCCTTGGTTTCCTCCCTCCTCAAGAGGATCTAATAACACCCCCAAGTGAGGGTTGTGGTGCGAACTGTAAGTGAGAAAATGCGTGTGAAATTGCCCAACACGGAGCCCTGCCCAGGGAGGCAACCGAGAACAGGGAAGGTGCTGGGAAGGCTCCAAGGGGAGGTCAGGCTGGGCTTGCCCGAGGCTACAAGACCGACTGTGGAAAGGCAAAAAAGAAAGCGGATGAGAGCAAAGGAGGTGCGCTGAGGGGACCACGTGCGGGGCTGGAACGGCACGTGAGGGCTGGGAAGGTGTGCTGTGATGAGCCTATCTCACGGGACCACCCTGTGCGGCAAGCCCGTAAGGTGGGCACTGTCGGGGTCCCCATATTGCAGGGAAGGAAGAGGTAGGTGCAAGGAAGTTCACCCAAGTTCACACATTCCGACCCAGAGTCCGGCCCCAGAGCCCAGGCTGCAGGCCACATGGGTAAGCCCTCTGGGAGAGCCGGGAGAGGTCTGAATACACAGGATGTCTCAGCCCAGATGAGAGAGGGAGGAGAGCCAGGGAACAAAGTCCACATGAATCATAGGGGTGACATAAGGGAGAGTAACACGCTGGGAAAGCAAGCCCGGGAGCCTCGGCCCCGCAGACAATATGGGGGTGCTGGCGGCTTCTGGACGCACCCGGCACGACTTCTTCCCTGTAGGTGACACTGGCAACTGACCCAGGAGCCCCTCTCCCCGAGCCCCCTCTTCGCTCTCCTCCTGCTCTTTTTTGCTGGCCCCTCTCCTCCAGCCGCCCCTCCCCTGCCTGCGTCTCAGCCCCACACTCTCCCGTCCTCCCTGGAACCTGTGTGGGCAACGGCGGCCACCACTCTGGCGCCTTTTCTGCGCTGGAAATGGCAGCAGGCACATGATATGTGGCACGGCTCTCAGCTTCCACTGGGACCCCAGGAGGGAGGTGCCGTCGGTCACATTTTCCAGACAAGGAAACTGGGACTCAGAAATGAAGGATGAGATCGCAAGGCTCCGGGGCGGCAGAACTAGAGTCCAAACCCTGGACCGAAGCAGAAGCCCTGATCAGATGACTCACAAATCAGTCTCCAAGGATCCAGATGCAGACACCCCACCGCATTTTTTTTACTGGGAAATTACAAACACCTCAAATTTGAGCAGCCAAATAGGGTAGTTGGCTTAGAGCACAGACGCTGGGGCCAGACCGCCTGGCTTTGACTCCAGTCTCCAAAGGCCTGCTGTGAAGATACGATGCCTGTAAAATGCTCAGGACAGTCGCTGTTCTGTCACCTCGTGAGTTCCAAGAAGCGCCAAACTAACTCACCGTCCTCCACGTAAACCACTCCGCTGCCCACGCCCCCGTGCTGGCTAACAATCCGACTCTGTACCATTCATCGCCCAAGCTACCCCTGGACTCACCCCAGGCCCTTCCCTCACTGCTCCAAATCACCCACGTCTACGCCTTAATCGCAAGGGAAGCTCCCCGCTGCCCCTGCCTCGGTTCAGTCTTCCTCCTTCTTCTACTCTCACAACTTCCAAATGATTCTTTAAATCTGATCACGTTACCCACATGCTTCAAACCTTTAACAGGATGCTCATCGCTTTGGCAATCGCCCACAAATCTGACGATCATTAGAACAAAAAGATTTTTTTAAATGTGGATTTCCCAGCTCTACTCCCAGCTTCATTCTGACTCAGTAGGTATGGAGGAGGGCCCTGTGCTCTGTATTTAAAGAAATCTAACCAGGCCATCCTGACGAGCAGCAAGGTGTGGGAACTCCTGGTCTCCTGGACGAAGTGCACAAGCCTCTTTGTGGCCCCCGCCTGCCTTCTCCTACCCGTTCCCGAAATGCATCAAATGGGTCCAGTCCTCTGTGCCCCTATACTTGCTCTTCCCTCTGCCTGGAGTGCCCTGTCTGCCTCTTCCAGCTGGCAAACTTCTCTTTGTCCTTTAAGACCCAACTGGAGGATCCTCTCCCCTGTGAAGCCCCCCACTGTCTGGGCTGATCACTCGCCCTCTGTGTCGATACTGTACCTCGTGTATAGACCGCCAAAGTGCTCATCCCATTATACTGCAGTTACCAGGTTGCATGCCTATCTTCCTTACAAGACTGTGGGGAGGTTATCAGTGTTCATCTTGGTGACCCTCCAGAGCCTAGCACAGGGCCTGGTACATAGGGGATGCTCAATAAATACAATGACTATTGCCCATTAAGCTGAGTGCTTGTAAACTTGCTAGAAACAGCCGAGAAAGAATACATGGGAAATTCCCTGGTAGTCCAGTGGTTAGGACTCGGCGCTTTCACTGCTGTGTGCCTGGGTTCGATCCCTGGTTGGGGTACTAAGATCTCACAAGCCATGCGGTGCGGCCAAAAAAAAAAAAAAGAATACATGAATGCTCATGTCAAGCAGAAGCTGGTAGAGCAGAGGGGTTATTATTTCCCAAGAGGATATGCATAATGGTCTATAAGAAGGTATATATACGACTCACACCAGCTGTATTACAGGCTTCCTCTCTTGAATCCCACATACGTGCAACCAGTGCAGCAGAACACACATTCCAGGACATCCCCCTGCAATCTTAGACACAGTCTAGGAAGATGGAGACATATTTCCCTTCTACTTAGAAGACAGAGCAAGTGCTGGGACTTCTTTAAAAAAAGGAAAAAATCAAGCCACTGTGAGTTAGAGGAGCCTTGTGCAAATAATGTGCAGGGGACCACGGCTAACAGCTGGGTTGGGTCTTCCCCAGGGGACCCCCTGCAAGCCCTGTCAACCTCCTGTCCTTCCTCCTCCCAGGCACAATCCACATCCCGAGACCCCACATACAGGGCACCCTCCCTCCTCCGGGACAAATGGCTGTGAACTTCCCACACTAGGACGTCCCACACCACTGTAGCCTGAATCTTGGGTGGAGTATGTAGAGATACTCTACAGGAGAACGCCTGATCCATCACATTATCTCTGAGTGTGCACATGGGACCAATTCCAGGCAGAGGCTCTGGCTCTGACCCAAGAAGTCGGATGTCTTAGCGAAATGGCCTTGCACCTGGCCCAGTTGCTGAAGACACTTCGAAGATGCTCTCAACCCACGGCCATCGCCCTGGGAGAAGAGGCCCTGCACCAACCCCCGAGCCTGCCCCCTGCAATGGATGCAGGGGAGCAAGGGAAGGGGGTTTCTACCCTGTGACTCAACTCCTGGAGGCTGGTTTGCTGTGGGTGAAACCAGGGATAAGAGTCTGGATGAGGAGGCCTAACCAGCACCCGTCTTCACCGTTCACAGACCCCCGGCCAGGGCAAGCCATTCTGAGACCGTATCAAGGCTCCTGTAGCGTACTTAGAGATTCTTTCCACGAACTGGACTGCTCTGAGACCCCCGAGTGCCTCGGCGGCGTGCCCAAGACCGCTGTCAATTCCCTTATCAATGAAGGTGACTATCCTCTATGAAAGAGCGACAGCCTCAGCCAGCCCAGCACTGTCTATGCCATCTATCCTGCTTATTCTTCTCCACAGCACTCACAGTCTCACGTTTTGTGTGGTTACTTATATATTCCCGCGCTGACACCTGAACAAGGAGGTAAGCTCCGTGAAGGCAGGGGCGCCGTTCTACTCTCTGCCGTGTCCCGTGGCCTCTGCGGCGGGAGAGCGCTGGACCCTGGCACCACCTCGACAGGTGCCTGAGAAGATACACTGGCCGTGGGGACAGCACTCCGAATCTGACCCGTGGGGCTGGCCCAGGCCTTGGCAGCCAGTACCTGGATGCTGAGGCTCTGGGACTCCAGGTGCGGTAAGGTGATGTTCTTGTAATCGTCGCCCGTCTCCCGGACCAGGCGGAGGTCCCGGTGCAGGTACTTTTGCAGGTGTTTCTCTGTGGCAGGGTAAACCACGGTTGTCTTCACGTCTGCAATGACACAACACAGCCCGGGCCACAGTCAGCCGCTCTCTCCACACAGTCCTGCCACACTCTGACCCTGACAGGCACCACGGAAAGGATGGGAACGGTCTCTCTTTGGTTCCCCAGTGAAGGGAGCCAAAGACTAAGAAGTTATGTTCACCCACGACCCACTCCCACGAGGTGCCTCGTGCCATTAAATTCATGACCTGAACCACACTCGGAATCTGGAAAATGTACGGTTTTCACTGATGGGTCACTAGGTCCCTCATCACCCTTAACCCTAGCCCTCCCCTCTTATTTTCTAGGCACAGGAATAAAACGTTTCTGTGGTTAAGACTCCGCGCCTCCACTGCAGGGCACACGGGTTCGGGGAACTAAGATCCCACATGCTGCGCAGAGTGGCCAAAAAAATAAATAAATAAATAAAGCCAAGCAGCCTCCTTAACGCAGAGCGGTGCAGCACAACAGTGGCTGAAGGCACAGACTCTGGGGCTGGACCATCAGGGTCCAAGTCCTGGCTCTGCCTGCTCCTCACTTGGGACCCCTGCCCCAGTCCAGGTGTTTACCCTCCCTGTGCCCCTACTTCTCCATCTGTCAGCTGAGGGTGATAATAGCTCATATGTCATAGGGTTGGGAGGATTAGCAAGTTAATACCTGTGGAGCTCTTAGAACAACAATGTCTAACACGTAATAAATACTGGCTATTTTCAACCCAGGGTTACCCAGTCTTGACTTTGGCACCATCAACATTTCCACCCAGATAATTCTTTGCTGTGGGGCTGTCCTGTGCATTGCAGGCTGTTTAGCAGCATTGCAGGTTTCTACCGGGATGCTAGTTAAACCCTCTCTCCAGTTGTGACAACCATAAACGCCTCCAGACATTGCCAAGTGCCCCTGGGGGATAAAACTGCCCCCAGTTGAGAACCACCGTTTTCATCACAAGGAAACCTGGTAGTGTCCCTAAAGAGACTCTAGGCTAGGGTCCTAGTAAAACACCACCCGGTTTTGGTTAAGTCCTTTTTCCTGTTTCTCTTAACATCTGCTACAACAGCTTCAACACAGATCTTAAAAGCAGGGAAGGAAAATGTTGTCTTAAAATCAGTTGGGATGTTTCTCAAAGGATCCAAGTCCTCCCTGACTCTAGATTCAGATGTGCTCTCCCAGAGAGGTCCCTGAGAGGAGCGACCCAGCATGGGCATCGGACACTCCAGGAAATGCTCAGACTCACCTACGTACCCAGAACTACCAACCTAGGTCTGAGGACATAGGCGATTTTCATGCTCATTTCACAGGTGGGTAAAAAGACTTCACAGGGATTCCAGACTCATTCGACACCACGCTGTGGGATGGGGCAGAGACAGGACTGGAACCATGGTCTTCCCGCCCTGAAGCCTGCTCTTTCCACCTCTGCCTGAAGGCCCATATCGTCTTCCAGCAGCTGAGTGCGAGCGTCCAAAGGCGCAATGCCAAGAGCGTGATGCCTGGTAGAACCAGAGGCCCCTGGCCTGTCAGCTCTAGCAAGCAGAGCAGCGCAGCATGGAGACACAGGCTGGCATACGACTCTCCCCTTCCTGGCTGTGCCACCTTGGGTGTTATTTAACCTTTGAGTCTCAGCTTCCTCATCTATTTATGGTGCTCATAAAATCTAATTTACAGAGAGTCGTTGTTATCGTTAAACAAGGCATGTCAACTGGACCCACGTAAGCGCTAAATAAATGTCACCCCGCTTCCTAGGAATCTCTGGATCTGACCTGGAACGGGAGGCACAAAAGTCTCCTCGCAATCCTCTGGGCACTTCTCACTCCCACCACCCTCTAACAGCCCAGGGTCACAGGCCAGAGATCAAAGGTCAAGCACACCAAGCTCTCAGGAGACAGGAGACTGCCTGAAATAGATGGAATGTCAGCACCTTGGCCCTTGCAGTGCAGCCTGCTGGGGAAGGACGAGATGCTGGCACCAATCAGCCTGGGTTCAAATCCTGGCTGTGTAACCTTGGGCACGTGAGAAGCCAGTGAGCAGCAGGTGGGAAACCTCTAGAAGCTGCCCTCCACCTGCACCCCCATGGAAAAGTGCTCCTCCAATGCTGGCTCTTACTCTCCTTGTGTCGCCTGGGCGGGGCAGGCGGAGAAAGGCCCTCCCTCCGGGTGGGGAGACGGGCCGGGACAACCTAGAGAAGAGCCCGGCCCCACTGGCAATGCACACACAGCCCTGGGCTCCCGGCCTGGGGGCCCCTGGCCGCTCCAGACTGGAAAGCCACGGGGCCGATGGGCATGCCCGCCTGCCAAGGCGGGCCACAGACCGCCCCCGCCACAGAGCCCTGGGAACCGGCCCCTCCTGCCCTCCCCCCAGCAGCAGGGAAAAATAAAAAGGCACTTTCCGGGGCTTCCCTGGTGGCGCAGTGGTTGAGAGTCCGCCTGCCGATGCAGGGGACGTGGGTTCGTGCCCCGGTCCGGGAAGATCCCACATGCCGTGGAGCGGCTGGGCCCGTGAGCCACAGCCGCTGGGCCTGCGCGTCCGGAGCCTGTGCTCCACAATGGGAGAGGCCACAACAGTGAGAGGCCCGCATACTGCAAAAAAAAAAAAAAAAAGGCACTTTCCAACTGCTCACTTTCTGCTGTCCTGTTTCCTTTCCTGAGACCCGCCTGCCTGGAGGAGGCGCACCTTGCTGCACTCTGAGCCCTGCCAGAGCCAGTCACCCCTTGCCCGGCCTCGGTCAGAGTGCTGGCATCAGGGTGGGGATGCCCCTCCAGTCTCGCCCAGGCCCTGCTCCAAGCCCACTGACCGCCACTCTCCCCCGGCCGTCTCTGCCCCAGCCACAGAGACCCCCTTACACTCCCCACCGACTCCCACCTCTAGGCCTCACACCTGCTGCCCCGTCTCACTCCCTTAGGCCTCTGTCCAAAGGCCAGCTCTCAGACGGCCCGACTAGAGAGGCACCCCTTACCTCCCCACACCCTGCCTCCTTCACCCCTCACTGCCTGACGATGGAGGACATATTTATTGTCTGATTTCCCCATTAGACGGACTCCCCTGGAGGATAGGGATTTTTGTCTACCTTAAAATTTTGTTTTATCATTTTATCCCCAGCACCTGGAAGAGCACCTGGTATACAGCAGGTACTCAACAAATACTGAACAAATGAAAAAATGAATCTGGTCTTTTGAGACTTTAAACCCAGGAAGAGCATTTCTTGTCCCAAATGGAATAAAACCTCTCCGGAAAAAAAGAAAAAAAAGGTCAATATATTTCCCAATGCTGAGTTTCTCACTGGCAGCCAAAAGCAAACTCTGGTGTTTATCCAAATGACCTGCAACTGAGCTTCACGAGGAATCTGGGCGAGAGTCAATGCCCGATAAATGCTCAAACCATCGGATGAAAATACGTCGGGGAAGAGGACATCCACTCAGGGCCTCAAAAACATCTCCTCAGAGATTACTTATTAATTACAGAGGTGGACACAAAGTGACTGGAGTGAACATCACTCCTCATGGGATGAACTGACGCCCTGGGCCTCCTGGGCTGTGCCGTGGTGTGCCCGACAAAGCGCATAACCTGCATCCAATCGCGAGGCGACATCCTCCTCCCAAACCCAGGGACGCTCTACGGAACAAGTGGCTTCACAGCTCTTCCCAAGTGTCAAAGTTAGGGCTGAGGGACTGCTCCAGATTACAGGACGCTAGGGACTGGACTGGATCCTGGACGGGGGCAGGACGGGGGTGTGCAGGAGATTCCTGCTTGAAAGGTGGTACTGAAACCCTGGCAAGATTTAATAATGGTCTCCACATCACTTAATGGCTTTGTATAAATGTGGAAGTTCCCAAAATTGATCATTTTACTCTGGTTCCTAGGAGACACACACTGGCGCGCTCAGCACTGAGGGCACCACGTCTGCAACTTACTTTTCAATAACAGAGCGAATAGCAACAAAATATTATTATATGTGTATGTGGAGAGAGAAAAAGGAAATGTGGCCAAATGTTAACAAGAGGTGAAGGGCTTTTTAAGGGAGTTCTTTGTACTATTCTTACAGCCCTTCTGTAAGGTTAAAAAATTTTTTCGAAATATAAAGTTACATAAAAACGTGTTGGTACTCTCGAGACCCTGGGTGCTAACTGCCAGTGGAGGTACCAGGCACTGTCCTAAGCCCTGCATGCATATGTACCCACTCACTCCCCACAGCCAGTGTGAGACGGGTATGACTTTGGTCCCCGCGTCACACACGAGGAAGCTGAGGCTCAGCGCTGGGCTTCAGCCTCGGCACCACGCACCAGCCGCGCAGGTCAGCAGACGTGGCTTCACCCTCCGCCTGGCGCCCTCTCTGCCAACCCCAGTTTAGCAAGTTGACTTAAGGGGCCACCTGCCCAGGATGAGAAGTACCTGGCACCTCCCAGCCCAGAAGCTTCTCCCAGTAGCTAGAGAAGGAACAAGGAACTTCCTGACCCTGCCCTCCTCCTGGCATTCTTAAAAAAATCAACTCCAAAACCAACAGCTCAAGAATGTTCACAGCCTATTGAGAGCATCCCTGACATTCCTTACAAGGGCTTCCTATTCGTCATGCTTCTTCAAACTTTGTTTTTATTTTTAGTTTAAGGTGTGTTTGCACATAGGTTAAAAGTCAAACCAAGCTTGTTTTTATGTTTTCTGCTCCTTTCTGAGCACCATTTTCAACTCTTCCGGCCATTTCCTTGCTTTCGTACTTCCATAGTTCCAAATCACAAACATTTTTATAACTCGTTCCACCTTGATTTTTCAGTTTTATTATTATTTATTAACCTCCCATCATGGAAGGTAAGGATTTAGCTTTTTTACCAACTCTATACCAGAAGAGCGCGAGTACGCGTGTGCACACACGCGCTTTCTACCCCGCCCTCACAACACAACCAGATCACAATTTTGGATAAATCGGTACTCAACATCAGCGCCGTTACGATGACGTAAATGCTGTCTACTGCTGAAGGGCGCACTATGACTGTTTTTCCTTTTCAGCACAGTTTTTGGGATACAGA